ATGGATGGCATTTCAGTGAGAAGGCTGGAGGCACTGGGGTCCTAGTTGCTGGATCTGTTCTCCAGGTGGAAACAGGAACAACAGAGAAAGGCCTCATCGACACTTGCTGACCCTTATGTGCTCCCAGATGCAGTATTTGGGGGTGACGGTCCCTGGGTTTCCTCATTGTGTCTGGGAAGACCACATCAGCCTTAGTTTGAGGCTTGGGCCAGTTGGACTGCCTTCTCCACAGACCCCATGACAGGATCCCTGGGAGGGGGTCTTAGAACCCATCTGGTTAATTAGCCTTGTAAAGTGACATTTCTGTGTCGATACAGATATTACACTTAATGTATCTTTCACTGCAGACTATAATCCATTCAGGAAGCCACTGTATTCCTTCTTATTTCTGTGCTAGTAGAGCGCTCTCATCAATATTCTTGTCCTGCCTCTTCTGCTTTCCTCTCTTGGGATGAATTCTCAGAAGGGTAATTGGTAGGAAAATATACTCACATATTTTAACACTTTTAAAATGTCTTCTTTCAAAAGAATTGATATTCTCCATTTTGGGAAAAGGCCTCAAACTTCACTGTGGGTCAGAATAGCTGTCATGGATGCTGAGAGCCACAAGCAGGACCCTATGGTGGGGTTCAGATATGGGCTTGGCCAGATGGGCTCCTGACTAGGGATGCTCTCACCGAGGCCCTGCAGGTAGAGAAAGCCACAGGGCAGCCCGAGTTGATGCTAGGATGCCAGGCTGGGACCAGGATACATCCATGGGACAGGAGTTGCTCTGGGATCCCGCTGATCTCCACCCCTGCAGTCCCGGTGAGGTGGTGAGAGATGATGATCCCAGTCTCTCACCTCTTTTCCCCCTGCGAACCTCACCTCTGTGACCCTCACCTCTGTGACCCTCACCTCTGTGCAGTAGGTTCTAGCAAAACCTGTCAATGAAATGGAAAGAAAACCCAGGGAGCAGCAGGACCCAGCCATCCTTTAACTCTGCCCCCGTAGCCCGACAGCTGCCCTGTGAAGCTGGTTCATCGGCCACTCCATGCTCCTGACCTCTGTTTACTCAAAACCAAACCTTAAGGAGCCAGGACTCTCCGGTCCCCGTTTCTGTTCAGAGCGAGCTGCCCCTGCTCTCTGCTCATGTCCCAAGTGTCTCTCTTACTATAGTTAGCTGTGGCTCTCCCCCTCACAGCGGCTGTGTCTCCAACCCAAAACTGTCCTGGGCTTAGCCTGCTGGGAGGAGCGAGGAAGTCCACGAAAAGCTGTGCTCTGTGCCATCTGTCCCCTTCCCTCATCTCCCTCTGTCCCTGTCTGGCTGTCTTTTGACTTGTGGTGTTTGGGGTTGGCTTGTTGCGTTGCTGCTGCTGCTGTTGTTAATTGAGGGAGGGGGATGTTGACCCAGCATCTCACGGATAACCAGGCTGGCCCTTGAACTGATTCTCTCGCCTGCATCACTAGCTCACTCTGTCTTCCTTACCTTGTCTTCTTAAGCCCAGTAGGCCGTGTACACCTGTGATCCCTGCCTGGGGACATTAAGACGGTAGGATCGGGAGTTGAAAGATAACCTGAGTTCCAGATTGGGGACCTGTCTAAAAAAAAAAAAAAAAAGATAGAAAAATGGTAAAACTACTAACAAAGAAGCTCTCCCTTAACTGCCATGCATGCCCATGATAGACCCCACGTTTTCAACTCCCTGAAGCCAGAGTCTCTGACATGGACATCTTCCACTTCCGAATGGGGAGAACCAATGACCTTTGTGCCAGTCAGCCATGGGATGCTGGGCCCATGAAGAGCAGGAAAGGAAAAGTGGGCTGCTATGCATAAAGGGGCCCCAGGAGGCAGATTATTCCACAGAAGGACGACACCTCTAACATTTCTCGCTGTGGGGAATTAGAACAGCTTTCTGTTCAGGAGGGAGCTTGAAGTTCCAAGGCAGGGACAACAGCTCAAGTCCAACTGAAAGATGGAGGTGAGGGCCAGCGGAGACCAGACGAGGAGCCAGTCCCTGGATTTCATATTTTCCATTATTTCCACATTGCCAGATGCTCTACATTGATTAAATCACATCCTACTGTTTGAAGGAGAACCTAAAACAGGCCTTGACTTGTGTTTCTTACAGGCAACTATGGTCCTGAGCTCTGCATACTTCTGGCTGGGATTGTTCCTGGTTCCAACTGCCTGTTTGATTGAAGATGTGATGTGGAGAGCGTAAGTATATAGGGAAGTGCTTTTTCCAGGCTTTGCACCTCTGTCCTCAAAGCTGTCTCAAGGCTGTGGGAATTAAGAAGAAACAGGACTCCTGACACTTGCCAAAGAAAGGGTTTTGTTTGTTGATTTGTTTAAGTTTGCCCTTCATTTTGATAGGAAAACGAGAGGAAAAAGAACACTGAGCAGAGGTCACATGACACTCAATAGGGGCATTGCCCTGTGTGTGACTGCAAGGCTGTTTCCAAACACAAATGCATTTCATCAGGTTGAGGAGACATGACCGGAGACGCATTTCGCGTCTTCAAGCTGATGCCAGGCAATCACAGATAGGGCCTGGCTCACAGCCCCAAGTGTAGTAGAAACTCATATGCATGTAAGTCACTTCCGTGACAACAGTGAAGGAAGCCTCCTTCTTCTAACCAACTCACAGTAGGAATCCTGCCAATCAAATTCTTCTCAGGAGCTGATTTACAACTCTAAAAAACAATCGCATCATAAATATAATATTATATTGCAGATTAAATGGGAATTAATTCAAACTTGCTTCCTGTTCCTGTGTTTTAAATTTTATCATTCCTAAAACCTAAAAGAAGCACTGATGTCCCAAGAGAATACAACCTTTAATTTCACTCAGGAGATGAGAGATCGCTCTAATGCCCATAGTATTGGCTTAGGTTTGAATGAGCCCAATTCCTCCTAGAAATATGACCAGGTTCCCTGAAAACTGAGACTTCTAGCTTGGGCAAACCACAATTATTTCAGGGCCCTGAGGTAGCAAAATGAGATTTTTAACCCAAGCCTTCCAGGAAAAGACATCAGGTCTCATTTTTTTTTTTTTTTTTTTTTTTTTTTTTTTTTTTTTTTTTTTTAATCTCCTCATGCCTCCCACACTCGGTGGGAATTATTCTTGCTTGACAGGAATATCTTTTGAAGAAGTCTTCATTTGGCCATTATCTTGACAAGTGATTGTGCTGATGCAGAGAGAGGGGGAGGAATGATTTTCCTAGAATGAATATTTTGTTTATGTTTTTCTCCTGCTAAGTTTTTCGACTACTACTAAAAACCAAATAATTTTAACTTCTTAAATGCTCTCACAGGCCAACTGCTTCTGTTTCATTTGCTACAACTATGTTCTGTAAATGGCATAACTGGAGCCTTTGGGATGGTTGTAGCCGGGAGAGAGATTTCCTTAACCTAATAGATGCACTGTGGGGAAACATTCACTCTGTTACTGGTTCCTTGAGCCAGTGGGCCCAATTTTGGCACGAGATGTTTATTCCCTAGCTGAATTTGTACAGCTCTGCAAATAAGTCAGTTTCAGGGGTGAGCTTCTGCTTGGCTTGGCTGCGTCTCATGGGAAGTAGTTACAGGCTCGCAAATTCGTCCCCAACTATCTTAATTCAGCTAACTTAAATTAACGTCATGAAGACAGAGTTTTATTGAGGCTTGTTCTGCCAAGTGGGTCTTCAGCAAAAGTATCTTTGTTTCCTTTCAAAGAGGATGTTTATGGGTTGCAAGGGCTCTGCCTCCTCCTCTGTCTTCAGAGCCCCTCCCAATGCATTTCAAGTACAAACTCTCTGTCACCGTGAAGCACCGGATGCCCTCCCTCCAACTAGGCTTGTCTCGCAGTCCCATTTGTAGGACCTAGACTATAAAATTAGCACCATTTGCATTTTAACGATGATAAATAAGATGATACGGCTTCCAGGTCCGGCATATGGAAAGAGTAAAAGTCACTTTCTCTCCAAGGAGCTTGCCAGCTGGGTTCCAGCCGGGCCCAGAGCCCCACACAGAGGTTTGAGGAGCCAGCAGGGAAGGCTGCCCTTGCCTGTGGTATTGTTGAGGCCCTGGCAGCTGCTGCCTGCTGCCTGGCAAGGGTGGCAAGCACAGCTTCTCCTAGGAATGCATCCCATCACCTGGCAGAGCCAGAAGGGGCCCTCCTGACTTACATAACCACTCTCCAAATGCATGTTGCTCTTGCATTCTTGAGAGGAGCTAGAACAGTGTGTTAAATTAGCGGATGTTCAGAGGTGCTCAAAGGATGTGCCCATTTGCAATGTCTGCTTGGTGCCTAAACGTCTGCCATCCCCATCCTGAAGAACAAGAGTTTTATGGATGTATGTGGGCATTGTCCCACTGAACATGGGATCTATATCCTATATAATATTATACCCCAAGCTGGAAACATTTGCGAAGGCAAGCAAATCTGGTAACTCCTCCCAAGAAGAGGAGAGGAAGCGTGTGTTAGACTGCTTGCCCCTGGCAAAGCCACAGAACTCGCCTGTGATCTCTGTGTCTGAACTGCAGTTATGCGCAGTTGTAGAAAATGTTCTCTGCGCTCCCATGCTCTGCCACGCTCTACACCAGTGGTTCTCAACCTGTGGGTCACAACCCCTCTGGGATCGCGTAACAGATATTTGCATTACAAATCATAACAGTAGCAAAATTACAGTTATGAAGTAGCAACAAAATAATTGTATGTTTAGGGGGTCACCACAATATGAGGGGCTGTGTTAAAGGGTCGCAGCATTAGGAAGGTTGAGAACTACTCTGTCTATATCCACTCATCATTTGATTTCTGATACCTCTCTTTGTTTTGCTAACACAGTCCTTGTACTAACAAATATTCTCCCACTGAGCTATACTCCAAGCCTTTGGGGTTCTTTTGTTTGTTTGTTTTTTGTTTGTCTTGGTTTGGTTTGGTTTTTTGTTGGTTTGTTTGTTTGGGGGGTGTTTTTGTTTTTGTTTTGAGATGAGTTCTTTCTGGATAGCCCAGGCTGGCATTGATATTAAGATTCTGCTGCCTCATTCCATGAATGCTGGTACTGGAGGCACCACCCCAGGGCTGGTTGCCCTGTCTTTGAAAACGTCATCACAGAGCAGGCCTGACTTTTTGAGTGGACTCTATGAGCACCCAAGACAGTGAGTGACTCACTTCTAGACACCTCTTATTTCCTTTGGCCAGTCCCTCACTTCCACTCCAGGACCTGGGCTGCTAAGGGTAACAAGAGAGAAACAGGATGAGGTAGTTCACTTTTCTGCCTAGTTCGTCAGCTTTCTGGATGAAGAGCCATTTTTAGCCAATCTTAACTCAGGCTTGGAACACCATAAAAAAGCCTGCCCTATTATTTCTCAAAAGTTTTATGAGGGCTCAAATGGCCTTGTTGTTTATTAACATAATTGATTATATGTGGTTTCTGGCTAATGAGAAGTCTTGTTAGACGCGTGGAGTGTAAATTGTCGAGAACTGTTTTAATATCCGCTAGCCTACATTCTCCCAAAATGCTCACCTGTGACAGCATGCTCGACAAAGCTGCCAGGCATGGCTCTGAACCCGGGAGAAATTGGTTACCGTCACTCTCTATAAATGATCCAAAGCTCAAGGCCACCGAGCATGGAGGAACACACTTCCTTTTATCAAACTATTCCCTGTCTTTTTCACTAGGCATCATGCACTGCATTCCCCAATTCCAGAATGACTTCATTTCCTCATAATTACAGATAGGTAGTTAAACGGCAATAAAGCAATTTCTGTGTACAAATGGGCCTTGATTGCTTTTTAAGATTCTCACCAAACCGATCTCTCTTGGAGCGCACCGAGTTTCCATTTTCACCCACGGTTAGAATTTGATGTTTCCGGTTGGCTGGCTGTTCTTGAATGCAAAAGAGGGAGCTCAGACAATAAGTTTTAGAAACAAAAGGATGGAAAGTTCAGGATTCCAACCCAAGCTGTTTCTTTCTAAAGTACCTACGGGGACATGAAAGCAGAGAAGGAGTGGGACCAGGGGGAGGTGGATAGAGAAGGTAGTGAGGGGTTGAAAATGATAACACACACACACACACACACACACACACACACACACATTCCTATGGACGTGTGAAAATCCCACTCCTTTGTACACATAAAGCTAATAAAAAAAAAAAAGCGAAAGTCTCTTAAAACCTTGATGCCCTTTCCTGTATCAGAAAGCTCACAGTAACTCATCTGTTAGCCCCCCTCCTTCCCCCAGATGTCTCCATTCAATCCCTTCTGCAGTCTCCTGGTGTCTTGACTGGGACGAGATGAAGGAAGCTGAGCCACTGGGGAGAAGACAAGCTAATCTGACTTCAGAGCTCTGACCCAGTGGCTGCACATCCATGGCACATGCTTATAGGTTTGCCTTGATAGCTGGTCAGTGTGAAATCACTACATGCGTGTGTTACAGGGAGACCGAAGATCACTTTTCTCCGTTAGCCCTCAGTAGGTCACAGCACTTGAGGAAATGGTTTTAAATTTCTGACATCCTTCTACTCAAGTGCTACCTGCCTCCCTAGGCTTACAACCCAGAGCTCTCAATAGTGGATGAATACCAAGCCTAGCTCTAGAAGCCAGCCTGGCGTTGCATCCTCAGAGCAAAGACAGTTTCTTGGTTTACGGATGTGAGCACATCATTGCCCTCCCAAGGCCAGGATCGGCATGCTGGGGGTCACATTCTTGGTTTCTCGGCCTAGGCTTCAGGTCCCATTTTCCTCCCCCCCCCTCATGCCTGTTCTTCCTACCTCAAGGCCCAGCAACTTTGTCTGTCCTGTCCCAGAAGACAGCAGTCAGGCTAGCAGAGAGGTTGACTGTCCTGTGCAGAAGCAGGGGGTGGGAGAGCAACGTGGGGAAGCATGCCCACCCTGCTGTAAAGGGACTTTGAGCAGGGTGGGACATGCCACTTTGTTTCTTAACACAGCCCATGAGCTTGTATGGGACACGGAACACTCAGCACCATTGGACAGCATACATTTTCATGTCCTTTCTCTCTCCTAAAAAATATTGGCCATTTTCTCATTTATTGTTTAAAATTCCACAGTCCCCACTTTGAACTTGGTATTTTATCAGAACTCCGTTTGAAGTAATGAAGGTATTATGTGTTAAAGCCTGTGTGGCTTTGGCTTGTTTACTCTGTGGGGAAGGATGGCAGGGGCATTTCCCATGTCTTCCTGCTGATACTCCATTACAGATGAACACGAAGTGCTGGGTGACCTGCTTTATCTGAGCAGCTCCACTGTCCTTACATGTGGAGGGGCTGCTGGGAGGAGCGAACCCCCATCTCCAAAAAATGTTCCCAACCATTTCCACTTCTGAGCAGTCACACTCCGTCCTGGCTCCCACCCTGTCTGCACCTTGGTGCCGAATGGGCTCCTCAAACACAGTTCATGAGCAGAACACTGTTGCAAAGCTGTTTCTGAGGCCGATGACCAGCGCTGCT